TGAAAGCAAAGTTAAAGAAACTTCGAGAAGATGCTTAAAAACTCATGGCAAGCATGGATCTAAGGTAGATCTGAAAGAAATCGAAAAGTCTCAAAGATTAGGGTTTCAGAAGAACCCAAAAGCAACGAGAAAGGCCTTGAAAGTTACCGATCTAACCAGGAGAGTAAAAGGTCAGACTCGAATGGCCATGGCTGGCCGGAGAAAGGTCAGGGATGACCGGAGAAAGGTCATCGAGCAAAGACTGGACCAAATCCCTTCAAAGTCTGGTCATGAGACCACAGAACCAAACACATAGAAGCCATGGAAGGCCGGTATAGGTCTCAGATGACCTCGGAAGGCCATGGATTAGGGTGGATTAGGGTGGCGGCGGCTAGGGTTTGGGGTGTTGCAGAGAGTGTTTGAGAGGGAAGGGGTTCTAAGGCGGTGGATTGTGAGAAATGATAGGGTTTAGGGGGTCGTTTGGAATTAATTAAGGCAAGGGTGATTATTGGTCGTTGATTTGAATGATCAACGGCCTGGATTAAAACGGGCAAGTGGGCGGGTTTGGGTTTGGGTCGGTCTAATTGAAATTGGGTCGGGGTTCAATTGGGTTCAATTGGGGTCAGAATTGGGCTATAATTGAAATGAAATTGGGCTAACGTTTAAATAGCCAATTTTTCCTATTTAATTTATAAAAAATAATAAACTAATTTTTGGAAATAAATTAAAGGTACTAAAATGATTTATAACACAAAATTGACTATTTAAAAATACAGGACTTAATTTTTATGAATATAAACGTAATTAATCCCAAAAGAGGCTAATGTTGCAATTATACAATTTTAGCCTTAAAAAATACTACATAATTTTGTACAAAATATGCAAAAAATCCATTAGCTATATTTTAGCATAAACATAAAAGCTCAACAAATGAATCACCAAAGAAAATTTTAGAAATAATTATTGGATTTTTATGGATAAAAATAGGGGGATAAATTGATTTAAAAATCTTTAAAATTAAGGAAAAATAAGGAAACGCTTGGATATACTTATATATGCATACATATTCCATTTTGAAGGTACTCTGCATAAAAAATATATATAGGAAAAAAATTGGGTATCAACATGGGGGAGTTGATAACTAGGGATTCTAGTCTATTTTATGCTCCTTTTTGTTTGAGTTTTGGACTAAAATGTGTACAAGTTAGAATTGCGGACATGCTCAGTGCATAGTGGCCATAATCCTACTTTGACAACTCATACTCATGATGTACCAAACCTATCACTATATCAAGACGAGGCTTTCGTATAGATATCAAACATAATTTCGATATCATGCAAAGATCTGACCTTGGTTGGTTCGGTTATTTCAAAATCTTGCCTACAAATTTCTCAAGTTGGCGTTTGTAATGAGAGGGAGAGGCTACGACAACCGGGAAGTGGAACTCTGACTGACTTTGGCTCTAAAGGACACTAAAATTTTGGCTAGAAAATTCCCCACAGACGGTGCCAAATTGTTTGACTAAAAAGTATTAGGCATTTTTGTTAAACTAATTAAATAAAAAGATTTGGGGAAAATCCTGGCCGGAGATAATTTATTCAAGATCTAAGTTAGAGGATAAGAATACATAAGCATAACTGAACATAAAATTTGATTACAGATGTGATTGAATCTTCACAATGTAAGAAATAGATAATTGCTCCAATAATATCAAATGATAATTAAGAATACACAAAGGAAAAGAATCACCATTTTTGAACAAGACCGACTTCCGTACATTTGATAAAATTGAATTACAGATGAATACCGAGATTCTAAGCTCTTATCTCCTTGTTCGGCGAGGAGCCTGAGGTTAGAGAACGTCTTCATCTTTTGAGAGATGTATATGTTTTTGTGTGTGTGTTCTTCTCCCCCTCCTTCATATCACACTCTCATGATATTTATACCAAACACTTTCCTTACCCAGTGGTCCTTGACCGGAATACCTAAGTTCTTGGAATATCCCACAAAATATTCCTCTAAAATATCTAAGTATTGTACTAGCCGTCCAGGCCGAATTGAGTGCTCGACCTCGGCCGTAACTGAATCACTCGCCGGTATATTGCTTCCTATGCTTGACCTCGGCTTGGTTGACTTTTGGTCATTCTTTCTTGAGTAGAATTCTTTGGTTCAGATTTTGACCTATACAACTTTAACAAAGAAACCGTGGTTTGGCCACAATTCAGATCCATTTATTCCCCACGAATTTTCTTATTGGTATTCATAATCTGAAGAAGCTTAATCAGTACTCCTGGTACGAGGGATGCCATTTTGTCTTGCTCCCAGTTACACTAAAACATAAGATAATGTATGTTAACTAAATTAAATAAAACTAATCCAAATCAAGAAGAACCTAAGAAAAACAAGATAGGCATTACTGCATTTCCATACAACCATACCACTAACTACTAACTACTAAGTGTCTTATAATTTACCTTATCAAAAAAAAACTAGTAAGTGTCTATGAAAAAAGGTTCATTGATTAATCCTTACATATTTAGTTAGGGAAAATACATACTTTACCCATCGACCTTGTCTCCAAATCCCTCTTACACACCTCTTAAATACGGGAATAATATTACACACCAAAACTTTTAAAGGTGTGTCAATTACACACCACTTCGATGTTTGACCACATCTGCTTAAAGATTGCTCTTACACGCGCCAATCAGCATCTGACACGTGTCAAATCGAGGAAAAAAAGAAAAACTGAAAAAAAAACTCTGGCCCCCCCCTAAAACCCCCCTCTTCTCATCTTCCCAAAGAAAAAAAATACCAGAAAAGAAACCCCTCCCCCCCCTCCCCCTCTCCTCATCTTCCCAACCCCATCATCTTCACCACCTTCACCATACTACTACCAACCCTTCCACCACAAGAACATTCTTCCCTGACTATTGATTCAATTCTTTGACGATTTTGAACAAGTTTTAACAACATCCATCACAAATCCTTATACAAATTTCAAATTCAAGCTCAAACCCAAAGCTTCAAACTTGTTAATGGTGTTTTTTAAATTTTATCAAAATTAATTACCGAAGTAAATTTTACTCAACAATAATCACGAATTCAAACTAATTTTCTAGGTCATGGAACACCAAAATCAACAAGACCCGATTAAATTTTCAAGCTTTTTCAAAAAGTCAATAATGGTGATTTTTACAAGACCCAATAGCTCCTATGTTCGTCTTTTTTTCTTCTTCTTAGTCATGGGGGTTGGAGAGACGAAACATGAGGTGATGGGTTTTTAATGTCTTGGCCTTATGCGTCTTATGTTTTGATGATTTAACAAACTTGTCGTGAAGAACCAGATAGAGAACCTGGCCCACAGGGTATACACTTCATGTGACTTTGTTGAAGTATGAAAATCAGCAAATGGATGAACAACCACAGGGAGGAACACAACAGGGACCTGGTAACCTGGTCCTTTAGGGTTCTCCGACACAAGCACAAGTCAGTGACTGTACGCAATCAATATAAAGAGAAACACAACAGGGACCTGTTCCCTTAGAGTTCTCTGACAGAAGTACAAGTCAAATACACAGCTGGAACGTAGCAGAAGAAAGTGACCATCTAGCAGCTGTCACAGAAGAGGAACACAACTAGGACCTGGTCTGTTGGTGTGTCCAGACAAGAAGTACAAAGTCCACTATCCAGCTGGAACGCAACTGCCCAGAAGTGGTTGTGCAGACTGTACAGCAGTCACTTCTCATTGGGAAGAAGCGTGCACCAAGAGTTGACATCACTATCCAGTGTGCTATCTTTGTGATAAAACAACCTGGTGCAAGACACACCATTCTTTGTGCATTCAGTGATATTCTCTCAAGCATAACAACGTTCATCCTTCATTGAAGTCACTGGTGTGTCAAGAACAAGAAGACAACTCCATTAAGGATCAGTTTCTTAATGAGTTTATGTACATCCGTAGTTGAGTTGTAATCTTGTTGTTTGCTCTTCATTGTATTTCCTAGTTTGCTTTCTTAGAAGCGTTGTCTTAGGAACAAACCAAAATTCGTAAACTTCTGAGTTTATGTTGTGACTAGGGATAGTTATAAGTTTAAAGCCTTTGTAACTAGGATAGTTATAGAGTGGCTTGTGGTGGTTGCATCACAAGTTAGTTTGAAGTCTTTGCAATAGGATTTTTGCAAAGTGGCTTGTGGTGGTTGAATCACAAGTTAGTTTGAAGTCTTTGCAATAGGATTTTTGCAAAGTGGCTTGTAATAGGCAGATTGCAAGTTAATGGAGTTAAAAGCCTACAAGAGTAGGTCGTGGTTTTTTTATCCCCTTGTGTGGGATTTTTCCACGTAGAAAATCTCTTGCCTTCTTTACTTTCAGTCTTTACTGCATTCTAGGCATCATCTCATAGAGGACCAGGTACTCTATAGTTTGGTGGACTCATATAAGCTAACATGAGGGGTAGATAAAACTAGGATGGGGGTTGGGGAAGAAGACGGGGGGGGGGGGAGGGGGGATGCTAGGGTTTGGGTTGGGGAAGAAGACATGGATTATATTTTTTTTCTTGATTTGAAAAGGAATAGTATAAAAAGGAAAAAAACTTAATTTCAGGTGAATTTTTTAGTTTTCACGCGCTTCTTTTATGTGTAATACACGCGTGTGACACATGGCAAAAGAGGTGTGTAATTGACACACTTTTAAAATATTTGGTGTTTAATACTATGCCCGTATTTAACAAGTGTGTAAGAGGGATTTGAGTACAAGGTGAATGGGTAAAGTATGTATTTTGCCTATTTAGTTACCATATTTCTTTGATCATAAACTGCACTATGTTCTTTCCAAGTAGTCTATAGAAGTGTAGTTCTTGCCTACGTACTGGACAAGAGCACAACTATGGAAATTTGCATATTTAGTCCCTGAAATATTGACAAATGTTGATTCTGGTCCTTTGATAATTAGTTAATACATTTAAGGTTCAAATAATTGAAATGTGCACTTTTTATCGAATTGCACATGTATGCTTCTAAGTTCTAACTGCGACACATTCAAAAAGAAGAAAAAAGAACTGTGACAAGAAAATCATTTATGTTTCTAACTAAAACAGCAAATCCTTTTTTTCACAGGAAGCAGAGCATCAGACAATGGTGAAAAGTATGAGGAAAATGACATTTCCGGTAAGCATATACTACCTATACATTACACATATTATATTTCCGACAGATATAAGACCTATACATTACGCAAATTATATTTCCGATGGCATATAAGACCTCTACTCTTGGTTTTCTAGTATTCCAGTTATGACCAAGAATGTAGTTTACCTGTTTGTGTTTTTGCCAGTGTGAGGAAGGAGGGAGGCACTAAAGCTTACCATATTCAAGTATATAAGGGCCAAGAATAAACAAAGACTGAAGACGGAGGGGAATCCCAGAGCCGGAACGATGTGGAAACCAAGCCAAGGAGCAAATTTTATATTTTTCCATTGCAGGCCTGAAACTTCCCTCAGCTTCTAAGCCAAGACGCCATCTTTCTTGTCCTATTCGACAATTATATTCGGCCATTCCATATCTAGTTTGATTTGAGATGACCCTTTTTGTCCCAATCATGAATATGATGTGGTGGAACTTTGAGGGTAATCCGATCAGTTTGCTCTTGAATGTTGTGTTGGTCGCAGGGTCACTTCCGGGAAGAGGAGGTGTAACTATTTCGAGAGGTAAGAAAAGTATTGGATTTTGACTTTGCAATTGTATATAACATGTAATTTACTTTCATATCTGAGCTTCAGCTTATAGTTATATAGTATTCCGAGCTTATTTCTTCAAAGCCTTAACCTGTTTTGCATACTTGACAGTTGACACTAAGTACAGTGAGAGTAGGATCCAATATTTGAACTTTATGGGTTCTAAATTCTAGGACAGTGACCTCATGTGCTAATAACTAGGTTCGAATTTAATTTTCTTACATAGTTAGTGAATTTCTTAACATATTTATATATATAGAGGGTTTGAGCCAAAATTACTGGGTTCCGTAGAACCCATATGTGAAAGCCTACATCCGCCCTGAGTGTACAATGTGTTTGATTTAATCTTCAGGAATCAAGAACATCCTTAAAGCCAAAAATGACTGTTGTTCATCGTAAACTTTGGCTAGACTAGCTGGGTTAGTTTACATTTTTCTTTCTGAGATTACTGAATAAGCAATGGATTTTTTAATCTGTATGATGAAGTAATTCCTAAGGACAATGTTTTGACGAGCTTCCAAATACTCATAATCGGGTTCAAGAAAATGCCAAGGCTTCTGTTTCTGCCCGAACTAAGCTAGCATATAGACCATCAAGTTGAGAAGCCATGAGTTTGTCATGGCTTCCATGTTCTGCTATTGTGCCCTCCTTCACAACAGCAATCACACTGGCTTCTCTAATTGTAGAAAGCCGATGAGCTACCACTACTGTGGTAGCCCTCTTGGAAATCTTCCTGAGTGCATCTTGAACATGCTTCTCTGATTCCAAGTCCAGTGCACTACTAGCTTCATCCAATAAGAGCACCTTTGATTTCTTCAGTATGGCTCTTGCAATTGCTATCCTCTGTTTCTGTCCGCCTGATAACTGAACACCACTCTGACCGACCTGTAAAATAGTATGCCAAACTCTAGAGATTAGTCAAGTCATGCCCAGCTTACTCATTAAAATAAAAAATATATGTGAGGCTTACCTCTGTTTCATAACCTTGAGGAAGCCCACTGATAAATTTATGAATGTGAGCTTCCTTTGCTGCTTCTTCAATTTCAGCCCATGAAGCATTAGGCTCACCAAATGCAATATTCTCTCTAATGGTGCCAGCAAATAAGGCTGGTTCTTGACTGACCAGAGCTGTCTGCCTTCTCAACCACTTCAAATTCAGCTCCCTCAGATCAACCCCTTCCATTAGTACTCTCCCTTGTGTTGGGTCGTAAAACCTCTGTATCATCCATATCACTGTTGATTTTCCAGATCCACTTGCTCCAACCAATGCTACCATCGTCCCACCTCTGATCTTAAGTGTAAAGTTTCTCATTACTATGACATCTGGCCTTGACGGATATGCAAATGTGACCATCTTAAACTCTATATCAAATGGCTTTGACATTTCAATCTTTTTACCTTTCAGACGGTCATTGCCTATTGATGGCCTACGGTTAATGATAGCAAGAACAGCAGGTATTGCAGTTGAAGCCATAGAAGTATCTGGGGCAAGTCCAGCAAGTTGTCCAACAGCAAATGAGCTCAGCACAAGTATTAGGAAAATCTTATATACGTCACCGAAATTGGTATAACCTTGCTTTACCAGGTAAGCACCAAACCATAGAGTCAGGGTATATGCTCCATACATTGCACCTTGAGAAAGGCCTAGTGCTAGACCAAGCATTTGTGACCTTCTTACTGATGTTCGCTTGGGCTCAGATAAAGCTTGCTCAAATGATTTAACTATTTGCTCCTGAGTTGAGAATGTTGCCACAGTTCTTATATTTGACACAGCACCTGCAGCTATACTGCTAGCTTTCGCATAAGAGCTGTTGTCTAGTTTTCCTCCTACATTTATAATCAAAGTGAGGTAGCTTGCTCCTAGAGTAAATGGTGTGAGAGCAGTGGCCAAAAGAGCTAATCTCCATTCAAGTTTGAATGACACACCGAGTCCAACAGCTGCTGAGCTCAGCCCCATTAGCAGTACAGAAAACCTATCACCGACAACAGACCTGAAACTGACACAATCAACAGAAAGCCTTGACACTAAAACTCCAGTTGAATTCTCGTCAAGATCAAACCAACTAGGTTCTTGTTTGAGTATAGCTTTAAACAAGAAACTTCTAACTCTCATGGTGAGCCTGGTACCCGCCCAACCACAGAAGCCTTGCTGTCCTACCATAGTGAATATGCACCCAAATCCAAGACCAACTAGTATCAAGCAGAGGTATCCAACTTCCCTTTTCAATCTTGACATGTCCGTATAAAAGTAGACTTTAAGTGCTTGCCCTAGAACTAAGGGATAGAGGGAGAGAATTGCACCTGCAAGCATACCCAATATTAGCCCTACTAATAGCATTATCAGCTCCGGTCGCTGCAGGCTCCATAATTCTGAGAGACGATAGCTCTTCATCTTTGCTTGCTCTCCTTCTTCTACCTCTTCTCTGTGGCTTCCTTCTTGCATAGATTCTAGGTACTTTGATCTTGAGATTTCATATACACTTTTCACTTTCGATACATCATAAGTTGATTTCTCATAGGCAGAGAATTCCACGTCTTCCTGTTTTGACATAGGTTTTGGGACTGCTTCCGAAGCAAGCTTGATGAGACCAAAGTAGACCCCAGCCTTTTCCATTAGCTGATCATGGTTACCTGTCTCAACAACTGAACCACGATCAAGAACGACTATAGTGTGAGCATTTCTTACTGTAGCTAATCTATGGGCAATCACTAACGTGGTTCTGCCCTTGGAGATCTTGTCAATGGCCCGTTGTACAATGGCCTCAGACTCGGGGTCTAAGGCACTTGTTGGTTCGTCTAACAGAAGAATTTTTGGGTCTTTAACCATTGCTCGAGCAAGAGCAATCCGCTGCTTTTGTCCTCCAGAGAGTTGGGTTCCTCGGTCTCCAACCTGTACAGGTACATTAAGTTTACAAGTACCCTTTTAATATGTATATCGTTATCTTGTTAGATTATTGTGGAATTTGAACTGATAATCCTTATACTGCACCTGTGTATCATAGCCTTCTGGAAGTCTTGCAATAAAGCTGTGAGCATTTGCTGCAACGCAAGCAGCCGTAGCCTCTTTCTTGGTAGCATTTTCTTTTCCCATCATCACATTTTCAAGTATGCTTGTTCCAAATAGTACCGGCTCTTGACCAACCATACCTATCTGACTTCTCAGCCACTTCACTTGCAATGTTCTTATATCATGACCATCCAAGGTAATTAGACCTGCCCAGATATTTGTAATTTCCTTAATCAGACATGAAAAATATCCACAAACAGTTATACTTGCTATATAAGAAATATTCATACACTTACCCTGAACAGGATCATAAAACCTTTCTATAAGAGCAAAGATCGTCGACTTTCCACCTCCACTGGTGCCTACTAATGCTAATGCCGTAGAAGCTGGAATGACTAAGTTAAGAGACTGGAGAATCTGGACAGTTGGACGAGCCGGATATGCAAAGGTAACACATTTAAATTCAATTTTCCCTCTTACAGTTGACAACCTCCTTCCGTCTGGACTGTAGGGATCTATCTCTGGAATCCTGTCTATAACTTCAAACACCCTAGTAGCTGCAACTGTTCCTTGTGCAAACTGAGCAAAGTAAGATAGGGATAGAGCCAAGCCCCTGCACAAATAGACATATGATTTACTTAAGCCAGACTAGATATGCTGCCAATGGCAAAAATTTAGTAGTTCTGTTGGGTAAGTCCATTGAGTTGGCGAAGATTCTTCAGAAAAGGAGGGTCAGCATAGCTTGTGTGCAGGAGACTAGGTGGAAAGGGTCGAAGGCGAGGAATGTAGACGGGTTTAAGCTGTGGTATTCTGGGGTCGTGAGGGGTAAGAATGGAGTGGGCATCNTTCATTTTCCACTGTTTTCTTGACTTTCATAAATGCTGGAAATTGAAGATATTTATCATCCATGTTTGCAGCCTCTTACTTTACAAAAGTAAGTGTATGTTACCATCATCCAAATTTACTAGACTTCTAGGCTTTATTAAGCTAGTCTTACTGTCTGGATATGTATTAACATCTTTCCTATTCCCCGTGCCCTCGTTCGCTGTTTTTGCTACCGAGATCTTTTACTATAAAAAAAACATTTATCCATATAAGAAAGAAGGAAAATTTCTTAGGCCCCTTTTTGTTCGATCTTTAGAACCTCGGCCTGGTTGATTGAATATGGACATTGGTGGATATAATGGATCAATCTCAATCACGACATTGTGCCGATTGGGCCTATTTCTAGCACATGGCACATGACTGTCAAAGTGGTAAGAATAAAAATGGGCAGTTTCCTTTGCAAGATAGGCTTCGCATATGGATCCTTCAATCATATTCCTCTGTTTAACAAATCGTTTACACTTGTCGATAGTCCTGCACATCGTCATATAGACGATAACGTTAAAGAAAATTACAAGAATAAATTAAGATTTGATCATTACCTCTCGAATGGATACATCCACCTGCATTGAACCGGCCTCCAAGTCGCGCCTCGTGTACAAGGTGAATTGGAAGGTGTTCTATCACATCAAAGAAACCACATGGATAAATCCTTTCCAGCTTATTACTGATTACAAGAATGTTCCGATTCATTTGAAATATGTTTTCTTCCTTTAATGTGGTAGAACATAAGTCTTTGAAGAACAAACATATCTCTGTGATGGGTTTCCATATATTTTCAGGCAAACCACAAAATGCAATAGGGATTAAGGTTTTTATGAAGATATGACAGTCATGACTTTTCATATGAGTAGCTTTCTATATATATATATATAAAATAAGTATTAAATATTATTTATTTAAAAGATATTTATTATTTATACACAAAAATATTATTAAATTTATATTTTAATTATTTTAAAATCATGTTTCCGACCGCACTCGGTCGGAAATATTTAATTATAAGCTATATTAAATTTTGTCTTGGGCAGGAAATATTAGTTTCAAACTTTCCGACCGAATTCGGTCGGAAATTTGGAAAACTTTTATAAAAAAATATTTTTGTACATTATATACAAGTATGACCAGGTGTTGGTCAAATATTGACCAATTTTCGCCCGAAATCGGACGAAATTTTTATTTTTTTTTGCTGTGGAACCACTATTTTCGTTGTCAGAAAAAAAATTGTTGACTTTTACGACCAAATACTTAATTTCTGGCCGATTTCGGTCGATAAGCCTTGGACGAAAAATGCCAGTTTTCTTGTAATGTGAGTATCAAACCTTGAACTCGTAAGGTGTAAAGTAGTAGCTCTACCACAACACTCTATTATTGAGCTACATTCAATTCTTTAATTTAAGGCATTAAACACCATGTAAGGTGCTCTATTCTTTTCATGTATATATATGCACAAAAAGAGAAAGTTTCTTGACGTATCTCGTCTTAAAATGTGCGATTAGTGTAATCTTTATCAATTATTTGCTAATACTAGCTTAAAATAAGAATAAAGATAAGTATTGTCTCAAATCTCAATAAACCTAGAGTAGCAATAAGAACAATCTAAGCCCCCAATCCACCCACACCCCGCCATAAATACTTTACTTATAATAGCAAGGTGTAAAAGCATCTTTCTAAAATATACTATAAGGTGGGTGAGGCTCTATCATTTTTTTTAAACATGACAGAAACAACAAATATAGTAATTGTGTGCATGTTATGCCCTTTCTAAATCTATCCATAACATGGTCAATGATACTATATCTCTTCATTTGTTTTTAATCCCTCACTTTAGAAAAAAGACATGTCTGGAGGCGAAGAGCGTGCCGGAAGCCTACATCAAAGCGATCAAGGACATGTACGATGGAGCTAAGACTAGGGTTAGGACGGTGGGTGGCGACTCAGACCATTTCCCGGTGGTAATGGGGCTTCATCAAGGATCTGCACTTAGCCCTCTCTTATTTGCTTTGGTGATGGATGCTATAACACGCCATATTCAAGGGGATGTGTCATGGTGTATGCTTTTTGCTGATGACATAGTCCTGATAGACGAGACGAGGATCGGTGTTAACGAGAGGTTGGAGGTCTGGAGACAGACTCTCGAGTCCAAGGGTTTCAAACTAAGCAGGGCTAAGACAGAGTACCTGGAGTGCAAGTTTAGCGCCGAGCCGAGCGAAGTAGGCAGGGACGTCAAGCTTGGATCTCAGGTCATCGCCAAGAGGGACAGTTTCAGATATCTTGGATCGGTGATTCAGGGGGACGGAGAGATCGACGGGGATGTCACTCACCGTATAGGGGCGGGGTGGTCGAAATGGAGGCTTGCATCAGGAGTCTTGTGTGACAAGAAAGTGCCACAGAAACTCAAGGGGAAGTTTTATAGAGCTGTGGTTAGACCTGCCATGTTGTATGGGGCTGAGTGCTGGCCGGTGAAGAACTCCCATGTCCAGAGAATGAAGGTTGCGGAGATGAGGATGCTCAGGTGGATGTGCGGGCTCACCAGGTTAGATAGGATTAGGAATGAAGTTATTCCGGAGAAGGTGGGGGTGGCCCCAGTAGATGAGAAGATGCGGGAAGCGAGGCTCAGGTGGTACGGGCATGTGCGGAGGAGAAGCCCCGATGCCCCGGTGAGGAGTTGTGAGCGGCTGGTGGCGGTTGGCGCGAGTCGAGGCAGAGGGAGGCCCAAGAGGTATTGGGGAGAGGTGATTAGGCAGGACATGGCTAGAATGCGGATTTCCGAGGACATGGCCCTGGATAGGAAAGTCTGGAGGTCTAGTATCAGGATTGCAGGATAGGGGCGTCTAGAATTTTTCGTACTTCTATCCCGGGACTGGGGGGGGGTGTGGGGTTAGTAGGCTCTCAGTAGATGATCGTGTGTATTGTATTGTGCCCCCTTATGGTAGTTACTGGTCGATATATTTGCATGTCATTTTATTTATGGTTTATGTTTAGATAATTATTTACGTGATTTCTGCTGGAGTTACTAATGCTCTTTTGCTTTTTGTTTTTTGTTTTTGTTTTCCTTTTCCTGAGCCGAGGGTCGATTGGAAACAGCCTCTCTGCCCTTTCGGGCAGGGGTAAGGCCTGTGTACGTATTACCCTCCCCAGACCCCACCTTGTGGGACTATACTGGGTAGTTGTAGTTGTTGTTTACATCAATTGGTAAATTATTATGATTTCCCTATTATGGAATAGTTGTCAATAAGCTGAATTCTGCTGCAATACATTGATGATTGTTAAATGTTTGCTTCCTTTAAAGTTTGAGACTTCCTCAAATTTCATTTATTAATTTAAGTTGATTAGCTTATTAAATCTTCTTCTGGTGGAGGGAAGATAGAGAGAAAAATGACAGAATTATTTACCTGCCCCCGACGTTAACCCCAAAGAAACAAGCAATGGCTTCACCACCTGAAAGCTCTCCCTTTGCTACAAGGATTGAACCATACCAGAAAGCCAATGCCCATGTCGCATAAGTAACTAAATAAATAACTCCAATTCCTGCTCCTTTAGCAAAACCAACCTTTGCCCCCAAACGCCCCGAATTCTCCAGAGATTCCACATATTTTGCATCTAAAAAGTCCTCTGCTACGAAAGCAGTTACAGTCCTAATTGAACTCATTGCTTGCTCTGCAATGCTGCCAGCTTTTCTATAAGATTCCTTTACAAAAGAACAACAAAACTCAGTGTGCAGTTTAAACTGAACTAAACAGAGAAATATTAACTTATACTATACTTCTTTGTGAAACTATTTGAATAGGGACGACATTTTGATGCATTTATCACAGAAATAATAGTAGACGAAACTCGAAAGTATTAAAATAACAACGAAATTGTTAGTTTGATGGAGAAAATGCCACGTCAATACTAGCTGATTTTGGGAACTTGTAAAGGTTTTAGGAATGCTGCGAAACAATTTTGGACGGTCCAAACAGAAAGAGTGTCATATAAATTGGGAGAGGAGGAGTTACGCTGAGTTGCATTGCATGCCTCTCACCTCTTCTTTCTGTGTTAGGCCAACATAGATGGCTTTATAAGCAAGGCCACAGAACATAGACAGTGGTGTGACTGCAAAAACTGCCAGGGAAACCTTCCACGATCTTCTAAAACCAACTGCGTAGCCGTTGATGAAAGTAAAGATATGGTGAACAAAATGTGCCATCTGCATGAAGTACAAAATTACACAGGATCACAAAGGCTGTTGTATGCATTTGGTGTGAGTTCTCTTTGGATTAGTATAGCCATTGTATAAGTGTGGTAAAGGTTAACACACAGCTTATTTCACTATTAAGAAGTGAAACTTATCAGTTTAGAGTATCAATGGGCAAAAAGCAGTACCTTTTCTCCCATCACTTCTTGGATTTGTGCCACATCACTGGAAATTCCATGCATAATTTCACCAGTATTCAGTTCTGTGTCAAAAAATCCAATGTCCTGTCGTAAAACAGCTCTTAGGTACTTTGTTCTTATTCTATGAGCTGATCTTTCTCCCACCAATCTCCAGCAAGTTGTCTCTGGCATAAGATGATTAAAGTGTCAACTGTGGTTACTCTCCTTTAAACTCTAAAATCCAGAATAATATGAGAATACAAATGTCTAAATTACCTAAGTATGCTCCAACCACGACTACTGCTGTTAGCCCTGTCATAAGCACACACACCTGAAGATTATATCAATTGTTATAAGATCTCTTGAGATTTAGATAATGAATTTATAGGCAATTAGTTGCTCTATTTAGGATTAATAATATTCATTCATTTTTCTCTTTTAACTGCTAGCAGGAGAGAAAGGAGTTATTTACTGAGATCCTTGACAGAGTCTTCATTCTTACTCTAACTCTATTAAAATCCTCCATATGGAGGTGTCAAGATCAACCCATTTTTAGTAACCCGCCCAAGTTTAAGTGGTTTGCTTCTGACTCGTTTGTTGACTAGACTGAACAGGTTGAACCCGAAATGGCTGATCAAACTATTGATCCAAAATGGGTCAAAACAATATAACTGACGGGTAGCAACTCAAACCCAAATATACAATATAATTTGGAGATCGGTAATTATGTAAATTTAAAAGAACTTAAACTAATAATTTCAGAAAAATATAATAGCTTCACATTTTATTTTATTTTGACAAGGAATAGCTTCACATTTTTTCTCAAAAAAACAATAAAAAAGGAGGGAAAGTTGGGTCATCTTAGACAAGTTGGATTATGACTTGTTACTTAACCCATTTTGGCCCAAGCAAACTTTCAGTAGGTTGAGTTATGACTAGCTTATTGATTTGATCCGTTGATCCAACCCGCCCTTTTGCCACCTACACCTCTACCAAATTCTTCTATGTCAACTTTTCTACAGATAAAAAATTGCAGGGAAGGGGGAGTAGAGGTGGAGCCAGGATTTGAAGGTTATGGGTTCGGAGTTCTAATCCTTTTAAGTTATTGGGTTCCCATTCTTCTATGTCAACTTTTATATCGGATAAAAAATTGCAGGGAAGGGGGAGCAAGAGCCAGGATTTGAAGGTTATGGGTTCGGAGTTCTAATCCTTTTAAGTTACTGGGTTCCAAATTAATATAGTACATATTCAATGAATTTCATAAGACAAATAGATGGTTTGGACCAAAGCTACTGGGTTTGGCCGAACCCGTAGCTCATGGGCTAGCTCCGCCCCTGAGGGGGAGCATACAATGAAATAGTAAGTATATATTACCATTTCCACATCCTTCATCATCCGGTCTTCGTCTTTGTCCAGGGCAATTTTGTTTACGAAATTACCAAAAAGATAAGAATACCAAGGAAGAGATCCTCCATTTATTAGAGCCCCAATACAACCCAACAGCAGTAATAGTATATCCAACTTGCTTGAGTATTTGAACAAGCTCAACAACCCTACTGGCTTAGGAGCTGCTGCCTCATCCTCTGCATCATTTTCTTCTTCGTGTATTATAGGATTCTTGTCAATATCATTGTACAGATCATTTCCATACGGCTGGAAATTTGATTGCCTAGAATATTGAACGTGGTGGCTGTGTTTATCGTAAACATGATCAACACATTTCACGTCACAATCAGAGGTATCATTAATATTGAAGCTATGTTCCATCTGATCAAAGTGTCCATGATGATCTCTAACGATGCCATGATTATGAGCATTTGACCTGCAACGTAGTTTAGCATGATTATTATAGCCTGTGTATAAGCTTTTGACACTGAAACCATTTTGAGTCGTTGTGTTTGTTGAATACATAATATAATTAAGTGGATCTTTACACAAATAGTCGACTGGATTCACTGTTTACTTTTTCTAGCCTCTGTATACACTGATTATACACGGTTATACACATTTTATACATGGATTATACATATATTATACATCCGTGGGCTATTCCTATTTTAAGTGGTTAGGCGGGTGGCTATTTAGGTTAATTCTTCATTAAGTAAGGGGTGATTAAAAGTGTGCTCTTCCACATGCTTAGCCCATGTAAAAAGAATCAGACATGCACGTAAATGAATGTGTGCTCTTTCTAACAGTATTAGCTTTTAGATGATATAGTCACACAATTTAACATTGTTACTGATGATATAGGTTGGTATCTGACCCGTCAATCTGGATTTGCCTTTCAAGATCTTCTATTCTGTCAAACTCTATCGAATGGAGCTCGTCTTTCACGGCCAAAGGACCACTTTTCCCAGCACTGGTCCCTTCTGTAATAGTTGCCAATTTTGAAGATTTGCGGGGCTTGCCCTTATAATCACGAGAGGCACAGGAATTCCCGTTGGCCCTGGAATCAAAACTTTGAAGCTCAAGCCTTCCAGAAGGCTGGAGGCCAGAATAAGAATGATCATATGATGGATTAATGAAGCTATGAAAAACGCCATTATTCGTCCGCGATAAGTAATAATCATTAGCTGATTTCCTGAAAATCCTACTCCCATTTGCTGCTGAAGTGAAAGAAGCATCAGTGGTTGTCCATGGACTTAGTGCTGCACTAAGGTTGCGATTATCGTGCCACCCTGTTGGCTCAAATTGCCAAGAGAGCTCGCCTTGCCATGACCTGTCAAAATATTTGTGTCACTTTTACTTCAACAATTTTATATATACGAAAAAAAACATTGTTTTAGCCTATTTGTACAATATGACTTTCCGACAATGGGAATTCAATTGAACCTATTTCAATACACTTAGCTATGCGACTGACCTGTCATCATCAGAGGCAAAAGGACTAGCGGGTGTGGGGTTGCGCGCACGACTAAAGTTGTTGTAGGAGGTAGACATTGACATTGAGAATGATGTGGAAGGTTGCTGTGACACCACAGGTGTAGTATGGCGTCTCTGCCTAGTGGAAGATGAAAACTCAGAATGAGCCATTTGGATTAATGCTGTTGATGATGAAGAATTTTTTATTGTGGCTCTGTTCAAGTTATAGCATGATGGTAGACAAATATGAATATAAAAAGGTATATTTACAGCTCTCTCTTAGCAAATTTTCCCTAGGATGAATGTTTTTTGAACAACAAAATGCCTTTGATCAATCCGCCTTATTAAGATCCCTTCTGACTTCTCGAAGACCAACAATAAGTGGTTTTGCATTTGTGTTTGTCAAATTTTGTCAAGTTAAATAGCTGAGGACAATATTATGATTGACAAATCAATCATTTTCTATAAATAAAGCTGATTACTGTCTACTGCTCTCGTAATCTATCTAAGAAAAAAACAAAGACACACTTGGTGACATTTGGTAGGCCGGCTTCTAGTCTATAGGATATACTGACCAGCCGGCATGAGAATGATTTGTGGTCTAGACATTGGGCAGATGTATATGGAGCACAATTGGTGAATATTTTAGAAATATATATATTTATGTTAAGTTCGAGAGGAGCAGGCACAATGGTAAGAGTTATCGTCATATAACCATGAAGTTACAGGTTCACATAGAAACGTCCTCTAGCAAAAATTGCAAGATAAGGCTGCGTAAATAGATCTGAATTCAAATTGTGGAAATAGCGTCGTAAAGATCAATTAGTGAAGCTTTGGACCGTAATAAGTGTGTACTTATATCATGATGGAAGAAATACTTATCTCATAATGTGAGATAATATTAAGAATTAACTTTTGTGTCTCTTGCAAAATTGCAAGGCAGCATATAATAGATCTAATATGGTCCAGTCCTTCTTGAATCCCGCATATAATGAGAGCTTAGTACTCCAAATTATTTTTTATATATGTTGATGTTAAGTTCAAACTCTCAGGGTTGATTGGAAAGAAGTTATCCCAGGATTAATTACTCCACATTTCCATGCGGCACTACAATCCCCGTATAACTAATCCTGGAATTAATTATACCGCAATTTTCTCGCAACCAAATATAGGATAAACTCTTCTTAAATTTAATCTCGGGATTAATTATTCCTTATCTCTCGTACCAAACGAGCCCTTAGTCACAAGTCACAAGGTAGTGGCTTCTGTTAATTTTGAAAATGTGTAATTTGGTTGCATGGTCGTTTTGGTTAAAGTGGCATTTAACTCCAGTTGTTTTATTTAAAATAAAAAAAAAAATGAAAGATGTCCCTCTTGGAGTCGGCCTTTTGGCATGACTCATGAGGTCAACTTTCCATGCAAAAACGTACTAGGAATTAGTGAATTAGCGTCTTTTTAGTTGTTTGTTTTTTGTCTTTTATTTGTTTACCTTTGCTCATATCTGTATCTTGTCTTTTGAAGTGATCATTTCCTATATTTTCACTTGAAAGAGGACGTTGTTTCTATTTTTGTAATTCCTTCTTGTCAAAATAACTTCATTATAGGAAGTGGTAAATGAAGCATCATTTGAAATGGACTCTTATTTTGTTACTTCGCTATCTTATTCGAAGACTCAGGGGAGTCATTTTAAAGGGGGAAAAATTCTTTTACATATTTCTCTTTTTCGATTTAACTAGTGGATACATGAAATCCATCGGTGAAATTCAAAAAAAGCCGGATTTACAAGTGGTAATTAAAAAATAGCCACAGTTTCAAAAGTAATCGAAATTTCATGTAAAGATAAATCTGAACGAAAACACTGTTCAAAATCCGGAAAATATTCCAGTATAATATACTGGAATTCCAATACAATATACTGGACTTCCAGCATAATATACTGGTCCAGCATAATATGGTGGAAGTTCATACACATGTGCACCAATCTCCAGTATATTATGCTGGAACTTTCTGTGTTGCAGCAAAATAGTGGTTATTTTTCAATGACTTTACAAATATTGGCTATTTTTCAATTATCAGTCCAAAAACTGGCTAGCCCATACTATTTTCACGAAATCAATAAGTCCAATAATTGTGCGTGCCAGGTGAGCCCACCGAGGGGTAAGGGCTCAAACTCAAAACTTCTAACTAATGATTGAAAGAATTCCAATTATCTCACTGCACTACATTTCGATGGTGCATTTAACATTTCTAGTTCTGCACTTAGCATTAAATTGGAAGAGTTCGAATCATTCGAATACACAACATTTAAGTGGTCAATTTATACACTTCTATTTCTGCACTTGGCATAAAATTTGGCAATTTTCTGGCGTTGAGACTCAACATATTTCAAATCCAAGAGCTAAACGTAAATAAATTATTCTACATAGAAATTAACAAACCACAAAAATAATTAATCCTCACAAAGCACCCTTCAATAACTCCGTAGAGATGCTTTAGAATCAGCTCTAATTAACTTATGCAAAAAGGATTAAAGAAATTTCCCTAACATGAGTAAGGCTCTGACTGGATGATTTAGACATTCCTTCAACAACTATGCAAATTTGGCAGCATACTATACTTGGTATGAAAACAAACATAATTTTTAGAGATTTCATCTACAATTTCTATGCAAATTTGAACAGCATTCTATAATTGGGATTAAAAAAAAGATAATTTTAAGACATTCCTTCAACAATATATGCAAAATTTGGACAGCATGTTGTACTTAGCATGAACACAAATGTTTTTTAGGGAAAATTGCGCGACACATAAAACATATACACTGTATTTATCATTCATAGCTATACTTTTAGCAATTTACCATTTGTAGCTATATTTGAATTTATAGCAAATCCATTAAACAAGAGATAAATTATTTTGAACTGAAATAAGAGAGCAACAAACTCTCGTAACTCAATTGGTTAGAGCATTAGAGTGTCTGCTTAGTTAGCGGAGGTCTTGAGTTCAACTCTTACCTGGTGTATTCATTGCGCGAACGAATACAGTTGATACATGTTGTGTTCGTTACGCGAACGAATACAATTGGTACATGTTGCGCGTACAAGTGATACAAGCTGGTATCAATTGAACAGTAGCTACAAATGGTAATTAGGCAAACTATAGTTGCTACGCTCTAAACTATAGTGCTTTATGAAAATTCCTTTTTTTTAGGTCTGTCCGTCTAGGCAACAAAATTGTGCAACCAGATAACAAGGACATCAAATCTGTCATAGTATGTATCATACAAAGGTAAAGGTAGCATAATCAAATAGTTCAACCCTGGACCTTTCTAGACTGTCAATATTTGATTGAACAAAATTTAGCTTCTGATATTTACCATAAATCGAGAGTAAAATAACAACATAAGAAAGAATGCTATGACTACCAAAATCACATTAATATTCCGCCAGTGTCCTCTCAAGACAATATACAACATATATTCTGAGACAACTACTAGAAACAGCTAAGCACAAGAAAGGCTTCAGAAGCCCGGTGATTACTAAGTACAAGTATACATCATATTTGGATGATTGTAGCTCATCTACCTCAACCTCTTACTGAGAAATATTGTCTGGCAATTCCAAGCATGCATTAGTGGAACTTGATCCTTTGAAATAGTTATCTTTGGCTTCGGATAGTCACTTTGGCTTTGAGTCACTTCCCTTGCTTCTGAATGTCGATAAGGAGAAGAAGGATCTTGGAGCTGTAAAATAATTAGGAAGTGACAAAAGTTAAGAGTGCGTATTCTCAAATTATGGAAGCATTAAGATTTATTTATAAATTCTAAATCAGAACTAGTGTGATCATTAAGTAAGTTATATATTCCGTGTATTATATATTTTGATAATCACCTCTGATTGGATCAGTGCTACACAAGAACTCATGGTGGAAGAAAATAACCAAGTCTGATTCGCACAAGTTTATGTCCAACTTTCTGCTTGTCTATGCTAACACTACACACAGATGATTAAGAGTGATGTGTGTTGCTAATAAGAAGAATGTCTTAAAGAGAACATTTTTGGTAGTAAGCAGAACTTTTGCAAGGTTACGACCTTAGTTGAACAGGATCTGTCTATAGGCTCATACAACTTTATTCTTGAGTTCTAAGCAGAATATTGCAAGGTTTAGGTTGTTGGCTAAGTTTTGCTTCTTGTGAACAGTTCGCGATGGTATAATCATTACCTTTTAGAATCCAAATTTTGCCATACTCCCATCAGAACTAGAGCAAGATAGACTCCATATAATTTAAGCTGGTGACATAAACACAAGGATATCTGTTTAAAAACAGATTAGTTTCCATTAAAGGAGCAAACCCCAACAAAATATGTCTGACAAGACCAAAAAGAAGCGTCAAAACCATCTCTGTCAGATGAAGCTAGTAAGGAGTGCTCTTGACCAACCCAAACAAAACAAAGCTTTATTTTTCCTCCGTGTTTAATCTCTTAATGTAAGTCCATGTTCCTCCTAATGTAAGTCAGGATTGTGACTTAAATGCATAAATTGAAAATGAACTTTATGGTTACAATTTCATGGAGCTAAGTTGCAAATAGGCCAAATACAAGAGGCTTTCTAAATTTTTTACATTTAGTTTTTCTCCTTCAGCCGAGATGACTTCTTCACATAATGACATTTTATTATGCACAAAACACAAGCAATAAGACAGGAAGGACAAACTTCTTATACTAGCTGGTCACCTTTTATTGAGCTCCCTGATAAATGATCCTCCCGCAATTTGAAGTTAGCTGGAGGTGCCGGGATTGAACTGCGCAAGGATTGAACTGCCAGAAGAAAAGATCATTGATTACTGACTTGAAGAACCTCTATGCTGAAGTTGAAAGACTGAAGAATAACAAACAAACAAAAAGATGGAATCAAAAGCAAAGTGAACAAGCAAGAGCACCAGTTGAGCAATTCCCAAACAATCTCAATTCCAGTTATCCTAGTTTAAGGTATGAACTAAAGTTCAAGCCACATTGATAAGTTCCTTTAATATGCTTCATTCTCCACAAAGACCACTTGCAAAACTACCAGCAATAGCAGATAAAGCTAGAATTGAGTGCCGCCTTTGCTTCCCGACATTTCCTATTATTTTTCTATTATGTAAAAGAATTTTGATATCCTCCCTGGATCTTCCCTTAATAAACAAGAAAACAGCACAATCTGTACTATTGTCAGGTGCTGGCAGTTAACTTTCCGGGTATTAATCTACCCACAAAAAGAGAAATAGGAACTGTTAAACTCAACAAACAGAATCAAGCATCACAAGCTATTCTTGAGGCAACAATAAATATTCACCATACAGAAACTAGATGTTTTGTTTTAGGGAGTGAAACATATTATTTCACCTTGTTCACTGAAAAACTCATTCTCATAAAAGCTATCATCAGATGGATGCTCCTGTGAGAAGCCCATTCTTGACTTTCTCAGATCTTCTGAAGAACGATTAGAAGGGTCACGTCCATCTTCTGTATCATCATCTCCTTCAGAAGTTGTAGCAGAAATCCAGTCAACTAAATTATCTGTGCCACGATTTTTCCTCCCAAATTTCAAAAACCGTTTAAATCCTCTGGCTGTATCCTTGCGCGATTGATTTTGAGAAGAATTTGCTACGAGCATAGGTTTCTGAGCCATTCCCCATTTCTTCCTCATTCTAGCTGCATCACTCTCCGTTTGACTTAGAGAATGTGAGTTCCAGGACGCAGGACTTCCCACAGGAGAGTCCACGGATGCATCAACATCAGACATCTCATGAGGATACGAAAATGGGTGATGAGCATGTGTATTCCATGAGACAGGACTTTCCCCCGGTGAATCTTGTACAAGTCCACCAGATAACAACTTGGAAGTGACAACAGAAGGCAATACAGCTTCTGAAGCAGAGTTCACTTGAGAAAATGATCTCAGAACACCATCGTTTTCTGATCCGGAGTTTTCCAATTTCTCTGAATCATGGCTCAGTCTTGGTTCCCCATTGTCAAAGTTTTCCTGAATATCAGCTGTCGGGTTCTCAAATTCTTCCTCTTCTTCATCCTGGCCCCTGCCTTCTGAGTTTTCCGGCTCAAATACCATATCATCGTACTCGTCATCGTCATCCACAATCTTAGATGCAGCAGAAGGTCTTGTCTTAGTCAGACCACCTCTAGAGCTGAAGTCAGTATTCTTGCCCTTCTTTAGTAAAGTCTTTGAACCTGAACTTTTTGGAAATTTTTCAATGATACCCCGCTCCATCTCATCTTTGTCATATTTGAGAGGTGTCAGAACAACACCCTCAGAATCAAAAGTGGATGTCTCCCTAAATTCCACCATATTGGCGGTGCTTTTTCTCAAGGATTGTGATCTTCGAGATTTGTCCTCCCTGACAAGGGGTATCTCTTCAGTTGTGCTTTTGCTACGGGTGTAGTTTCTAGATTGTGAACGAGTTGTCTTACCAGCTGTGGAAGAAGGCTTGGTGTTCTCCTTTCTCATATCAGAGAAGTTTGGGACAGACTGCGCCAGAGGATTTTCAGATTGAATTCTTCGCCTACCTGATGTATTACTAGAAGCTTTCCCAGAAGACCTCGGAACAGGTGCTACTGTAGTGCGAGGTGTTGATGAAGACAAACCTTTGACAGGTAAAGGCTTCTTACTCCGAGTGTTCTTACGAACATCATCCCCGAAAGATGTTTCGTCAAAAGACCTGTCTTCACCGTATTTTTTCAGCTTTGATAATTCAGACATATCTTCTTCGTCATCACTTTGCTCAAAAACTAACTGTTGCTGCAAAAACAAATTGTTTCAGGGTCAATTACATGTAATGCAAGAGAACCAAACCAATAGACAGAACAAGAAATAGAAATGGCTATGCTTGTACGAGTAGGTATTGCTGCATCTATTACAGAATAGAAAAAGAACTATACCTGGTCTCTCCTCAGAATAGACCTCGAATTAAATGATCTGAGTCTCTCAGCACGCAGACGAGAACTAGAAACCATACTGTCTTTATCAGCAGATCCAGCAAACTTGGCCTTCATCTCAGCTCTACTCCTCTCAAGGCTATCCTCCATAGCCTTCTGTTTGGCTTCCTTCTCTGCTCTCTTAGAATTCCATTCTTCCCGGAGTTTGGTATCCCTTTTCTGCATATAGCTCTCATAGAATTTTCCTCGAGAACCATCCGAAAAACTTAGTTCAGAGAAACTCTTATTTAAAACATCATTGGAACTTGAGGCAGGTTCATTGGACGTGTAATTGTCAGAAATTCCGACATTAGAATTATCTATCACAGATTTCCTGTAGGATGAAATAGCAACTGGACGGCTTTGGACGTCACCTGGCCTGCTTCTCTTGGTAGAATTAGATTTATCGCCAGGAGCACGTAATTTGTGCTCAGCGAAAAGCTTTTCTAGCTCATTAGCTTTCAATTTCAACTCATCATTCATTTCTTGGTTTGCTTTGGGCTGCCGTACCCTCTGAACTTGCTCAATAGGAGGTGTCAAAAATGAGTCAAGCCCCTCAGGCTCCAAAACCATTTTACTTGACAGCGGTGTTTTGCTAGTTCCAGCCATGATCTCGTCCATCCTATCTCGAGTCTTCTTGACCAATTCAGTAGCACCACCTTGCTTCTTAAATTTCATTGGTACATGTCCAAGCTCTTTGACCTTTGATTGAGAAACACTAGCTAATTTCTCAGATGGAGATAACTTACTTTTTTCAACTTCCTCAGATTCAGGAAGAGATTGCCGTCTTGACTGCAGATACGGTGTATTACCTTCAAGGACTTGAGCAGCGGGAGTTTCTGTAACTGTTGAGCTTGAACCACTAACCAACTGAGCAGAGGCCACTGCGGTCCTTTGAGGAGCTTTATCGCTCTTAAAAACCAAATGATCAGTTGATACACTATCCTCCTTCTGATGCCAAATCTCAGCCTGCACAGCTCCAGATTGCTCTAGTAGAGTACTCTGATCCTTCAGGCCAATAACCTGATGACTAGTTTGTCCTTTGCTCCGCCCAAGCTCCTTACCGCCTTGAGAAACTTTGAAGTTTGCGTTACTAGTCAAACCAACCTCAACAAATGACCCTCCGGAATCCAGTTGATTTTTAGCACTCCTATCCTCAGCCCCGCTGATATGTGAGCTTGACCTGATCTTCCCACGACCCTGATCACTATCAAAGATGCCCGAAGTTGAGTTTGATATGATCTTGATAGAATCTTGAATACTCCTAGAAGAATCAGTCAAAAGCTTCACCCCATCAGCTTCCTCCTTCCCAATTGTATATGGAACCTGCAGATTAGCATTAGTCTCAAGACTTGCTGCATCAGTCAAACTCGACGACTTCTGCTCATTGGACTTAGACTGAGAAACAGAGGCAGAAGATGGGGTGCATAGAGGACTCTCTATATCCTTCTTGTCACCACCCAAATCAATGCTCATGTCACTGGCGCCGCTCCATCTTCTCAACACCGGCGGGGCTGACACATCAGATGACAACCTACGAAGCTCTGGGGCTTTCGCCACAGCAGCTTTCCCACTTCCCCCAGAATTCTCCTTTTGCTTGTTCTCGAATAAATTGATTCGTTCCTGCACGCTTAGCCTCCTTTTCAGTTGAGGACCTTGAGGTTGATCAGAGGATTTCTCTTCCTCTTTCTCGTCCTCCTTCCCTTTTTCAGCAGTGGAGATTCTTTCGTTGCTGTTCTCGAATGGTTCCACGCTGGACTCTCTGCTATTACATTGCGAAGTGGAGGCAACCAAAGGAGGTTTTGGTTGCTGACACGTTGAGGACTTCTGGGGGCCGGCAGAGTGGGACCCAGAAAGTCGCTGGTCTGGAGTAGTGGGGTCCTCGTCGATAGACATGTCGGATCCATAAGAGCAACGTACGGCTCCGTCATCTCTTTCAGACACCTTTCGTGACTTGATCAATTCTGGTCGCCTTTCCCTTAATGTTAAAAATTTGTTGCAGGCTTCGCTGGAAAAAAAAAAATAGAAACAATACAACCTGATCAGTCGTCAACGCAAATCTACTTTTTTAATCAGTGCAAAAATTATTTTGCAATCACCAGAAATATATTACGGATAAAAATATATACGCCCTAGTTTGTTTTAGTGTTAACCCTGTGCGAAAAAACAAAAAAAAATAGGACAAACAAATATAGGGGGAAAATATTATTATCAAAACATTTTATGATTCTTAATTGACGTTTGTAATATAAAAAAACTAAGCTAAAATTTGCAAGCAATAATCTCTTTTTTTTTAAAACAAGCACAGTAACAACAACAACAAACCAGTGAAATTACACTAGTGGGGTCCGGAAGAGTAGTGTGTATGCCGACCTTACCCCCTACCCGAGAGGCAGAGAGGCAAAAACAGTATTATATAAAGCAGATATAGGTTTGATTAAAAAGAAGCTATTTGTTTCAATTCCCCCTGTCAAACAACATATAATTTCTTCAATTTTAGCTCTATTTAATTTTTCATCCATTTATTTCCTATCAATTTGCCAAATAGACAGGAAAGTGGCATTAAATCACTCTCTTATTCTCCAGTTATTTAACTGACCAGGAAGAAAACAACATAGTAAAAGTTTTCTTTCCTCTCTCAGTCTCCACTATCTTTTCCTGCACCATCCCTAGAATCTGTCAAACCGAAGGAATGTACTAGTACTTCATTGATAAACTAAATACTCAGGAATAAAAACTAAAGGAGTATAGCCTCTCACTAGTTTTTTTTTTTTTTTTTGATTTGCACCGGGTGTCCGAGTCTCTAAGAGACTCGACTAATCCCGGGGGTGCACAGGCCCTCGGCAAGGAGTTTCCCGCAAGTGCACCATGGTTAATTCAGGTTTTACCCAGTCCGATGGCCCTCAGAAATTGTTTGCACCCAGTGGGTTTCGAACTTGAGACCTTGAAAGGGAGCAAACCCCAAGGCTCAAGTCTATTGCCACCAGGCCAACCCCTGAGGGTTATAGCCTCTCACTAGTTTAACCAGTGCAATCAGTTGTTTCAACCAAAGGGCGTTGACACTAAAGTGATACATAAAGTAGCTCAAGAAGATTTCATTTCTTTAAATCTCAGCAGTCAACTCTAGATTGAATATATCCCGCCGACACAAACAGCAGAGCAAGAAAGGTTATCCTATTGCTATGACCAAACTTTTTTGTGCAAGTAAAGAAAAGACTTGGCGTTCATGGTTAAGTTCAACTGTGCAGTGGATGTCCTTATAGACACGTCAGAATCACTCTTCCAATTTTACGTGGGGAAAACTAGGAACAAAGAGAAAATCAGATACACCTTCTGCATTCCCGACATCAGAGAAAGAATCTTAATTGCGCCCTTTCATTTTAAATTCACCATACTTCGCAACGGATGTTTTAAATCCAAAATAGTCATGGACACTAGTTTGTGCATCATCTAAGAAGCAAAACCCACTCATCAAATGATTAAAGTGGTTGGTATCACCGTATCAGCATCTTACTTCAAAATCAAAATGTGGCACAAATTATATTAATGTAAATAAAATAGAATACTAAGAGCTATATGACCTTGAATAATTCCCCATGAACATTTGCCAGCTAAGCCCAAAATACAGCAGATCTCGTTTTTCTTAATTTCACTTTATTTCCTCAGTCTTGTTCTAACATTCATAATCAGATAGGTGTCTTTTATCTTTGATGTGTTGATTAAGGTCTCTCAGGTCTTGTCGGTGTGTTTTACCCTGGACCTTGGAGATAGCTCAGTTGGAGTTTCTGGAAACAGGGTTTGCTTCAGTGACCCCTTCCAGCTGCTCCCAGGGTTTGACCTACCTTTATCTAGGTGCTGAGTATCTAACTAATTCACTACCATCTGGACTAGAGAGGTATACAGTTCTCCAATCCTGTTGATCTTAGAAAACATATTACCACTCTGAAACCAAGAACGAGAACTTTTATATATCTATTCTTACCATGCGATAAAAGGACACAATATTGGTAACACTTTGCTATTTCTTGGCCATCACTATAGTCTATTTTGGGCTTCAACGAGTCAAGTTTCATTTGAACTAGGTCAAGGATCCTTCAGGAAAAAAGAAGCTTTAATGCGCCTCGGAAGCAACTGCACTTGGTCAGTTATTTGCTTTCTCAGTCAACATCACCTAACCACCAAAATTGCATCTCACAGGAATACCCTGAACTAAACATTGTTCCCCTTTCTTTGTTAACCAGCTAAATTAAACACAATGGTCAGCTGGCTGCCATTTGGCAGAAACACAGAATCCGAACAGCAATGCCCTCCTACGTGAACTACAAAAACTAGAATATTTTGACAAGCCATAATTCTTCTGCGAGCAGATACGCAGGGAGGGATGGAGGGGCTGAGAAAATCTATGAACAAAGTCAAAGCACCAGAATCTTACTTCAATCTAGGGGCACCAAACCGTTCTGCAAAAGTTTGAAGTTCAGATACTGTCTCCTGATTGAAACCAGCAGCTGCTGCACGAGAACAAGCAGTAGATAAGTCCTGTTGAACTGTAGTAAGCCTCACATCAATGGCTCGCAGTAGCTCCTTCCTGTAAATAGGTAGTAGTGAACATGAAATGAAGATGCTTTACTGGGCAGCAAACCAAAAAACCAACAGTAACAAGCAATCGATGTGTGAAGAAGCAGAGTGAGGAAGTTACTTTGTCGCATCAGCTGCTATTGTAACCCCAGATCCACCACTACCTGGATAAGTAATAAAGCAAAAAGGTTGTCAGATAAAGATCACTATAGGGCCGTATAATCAGTGATGTTTAAACAAGATAATTCTTAATAAATTCAGTCTTCACTTCTCATGCCCAAATTTAACAACAGCGATATATAAGATGAAACAATTAATTCGGGGGCCAGGCAGCAAAGCTTCCACATGAGGCATGAAATTTTTTCTTTCTTGATCATTTCCACATGAAAAATGGAATCAATAGAGTTGGTACAGCTACATAAAGAAAAAACTTACTTCACGGTTTGCTACAACAGTATTACAGAAAACAAAGACTAATCAAAACTAACATTTATTGGATGTTTATAAAAGACGTTGACGACTACCCAAATACGCCAAAAGCGGTCTATTCATTTTGTAAGCTTTATCATCTTGATCACAGGATCTAACAACATGCAATCTATTTCTAACCTTTAATTACCAGTGTGATACAAGGATTATTCATTTTGTAAGCTGATCTTTACAGTTCAACTATACAATACTGTTTAGTGTCCACAGGGAACAACGAGAAATAGAAGAAAATGCTAGTTCCCGTGGCATCTTTGGTCATCAAAGTGATCATGGATGGTGAGGCTAATCCATTTATAGACAAAGGTTAACCTTTGATCTCTATGGAAGAGAAGAGTAATTAAGCCCCAAACTTATGCAGCTTCTAGGTATTAAGAATCCTGGTCGTGAAGACAGTGCACGGGATGCATGATCTAACACATATGCAGCTAAGATATAAGAACAGCGAAAAATGCTAAAGTATTGGAGATAGTGAACCTCTTCTCTACCAATAGGGTAATTAATGAGTTTGCCAATCCATGAGGAGCAGGTTGCAGTTTTCTCAACAAGATTGGCACAGGTAGAAGGACACAGTATTCTAGTCCTCCATGGATGCAATTATATTATGGAAGATTGCATTATACCTAATAATCACTCCTAAAGGATAGATGCTTTAGGAAAATACCTAGTTCAGGTATTTCAAGAGAGAATGCCCCAGCAAACTCCTTGTGTTCTCATTCTTCTTATTGTTCAATTGAAAATTTGAACTAACAAAAAGCAGGCAATAGATGACCCTTATAAGTTATGCTACCTTTTTTTGGTAAAAGTAAAAAAATTTATTCAACCAAAAATAAGTTATGCCACTTTTATTCTTAATGAGGACGAATAAATAGAGGAGGACTAGGTCTCCTCATCCTCCCCCCCCCCCCCCGTTTTTTTTTTTTTTTTTGAGAACAAAATCAGTTAGAGGTATAAAACACAACTATATTTGTCAGTAATTTTTCCATGTCTCCTCTATCAAACTAAAAGTAAAAGATATTTCTTTATGAAAATTGATTTGGTAGTTTATTTAGGTTTTATGGTCTGATCTCAACATATCTCAGCAGATAACAGACATATAAACCATGCAGACACCATCACATCTCCCACGACTGACAATCCTAACCTTGGCTTATAATGTAGACCCTAGTAAGATGGAGAACCAGAATCTAGAGATTATTTCAGTAATTACATATGCTTTTTGGTGAAAATTATGAATAGCATGATGTGATACTAAAAGGGAAACAGCAACAACCACCAAGAGAGAATGCATAGAAATTTAAGGAGATGACTAATTAGACGAGGAGGGAGGTAGCTTAGCCAGCACAGAAGATCATTTTGAGGTGACACAGGCAGTCTTGTTCTTCTGAGGTTACAGGCATGAAGTACTTAATAAAATGTGAAAGCCAAATTTGGTTATGAGGTAATCTTACCAGTCCCATTAAACTGGTCGCCCGTTCCCTGAAATAAAGGATAAAATTCTATTATTATCTGATAATTCTAGTCATTTCTAAATGAAGGTTACAGTGAGTTCATGATAGTGTTCGCCACCTGCGAATATAATTTTCGGGCTGCCTCAAGCTGAGACATCTCCGCATCTAATGTGTTGACAAGTTCCAGAACTTCTGGCGTGCTGACAAACCTCACAAACCTGCAAAGAAGAAACAAAATCAAATCATTCTCCATTTTCCCATTTTTTTTCGGGCAAGCTACAAAAGCCATTACCTCTCCAGGGTTCCTTTTGTGAACCATGATTCAGCCTTTCTGCGCCTTTCAACTTCAAGCTTGATAGACTGAACTGCCAATGCAACTTGCTCTTCTGCAATTTTTAAATGAGTCACAAAGGGCTTTACCAATCCCGATGCCAGTTTCTCTGTGTTTCCACCACGAGAAACAAACAATTCGCATCTGCCCAAGCAATTCCAACAATACAAGAAATATTAGCGAATTCATATACCTTTTTCATAAATAAACAAAAGCATATCTACCACTCACCGAGAGCGCTTTGGTGACAGCTGGAAGACCGCATAATCAAGGAGTGAATCAGATTCCATCTTTGCCCTCACCCTCACTAAATCAGCACAATGTTCCCTTTAGCTTCTTTCATATAACCTCCCCACCTTTTAAATTTCAGAAAAATATAGTCAACAATGAGCATAAGCCACTTCCAAATCTAAAGCACACAACTGTTCCACAGGTATATAATAGAAAGAAAATAAAGTTTATGTTCAGAAGCAGTAGTATTCAGTGGTTTCATAAGCATAACAAAAGAAGGAAATGAGACATGCTTTAAAAAGATAATAGTGTCAACAAGATGGACCTTTGCCCAAGAACCAGTTCATGAGGGAGACTGCCTAAGATCATATAAGGAGATAACAGCTCAATCCCTTAACCAGTGCGGGACAATCTAACACCCTCTGCATGCTCAGGCCTTAGTTAATTGGAGCGTGGAAAGCATAATATAAGGGGCCAGCATTGAGTAAACCGAGAATATGGATGGGTCTAGCTCTGGAACCATGTCAGGAAAATGGATTTTGGGCCTAACTTAAACCCAAATGCTAGCTCGTGAAGGGGCGGTTTCCCAATACCATATAATAGACAACATCCCACTCCCTCAACCAATGTGGGACAATTTAATAGATAGATCTTATCTGAAAATGGGTGATAACCGAATATGCATTGCTCAAAAGCACATTTTCTTCAGATCCAGTTACAGGCAAAACATAATTTCAAATGCCAAAAAAGCAATGTACGACATTGTAAATATATAAAGTAAAACATTGAAGTCTTCACAAGTCAAACCGAGCAAAAATGAAACAAATTATTCATTGAACACAAAAACCCTAACAATTAGGAATTGCGAGAAATGATAGAGGAACATAGAAATCAAAACTCACATAAGCAATGTGAAGGCGGAGATCTTGAATTGCCGAGCTAGATCGGCGGATATCCGGTTCATATCCGAACCGACATTTTGATTTTCTTTAAGCTGAATGTCAGTTAGAAAAAAAAAATTCAAAACCCTTATAATTTTTTCCCAAAGATTGTGTTTTCAAGGGTTTTCAGGAAAACCCTACAATGTACTCTGACTAACTTCTAGCTGTCGTCAAATGGATTTCGCTTTACTCCTTTCTCAAATGATCTTTTCTTTCTCTATTTCTTTTTCCCTTTATTTATATGTATATACACACAGTCACACAGTTACAGAGGAAAAAAATGGAGAGTGAATAGTAGATACAGTAGAGAGAGAAGAAATAGTTTGAGTGGAGGCGTAGAGTGCAGTGCTTCGGACAAAATAAGCAATCTTTTACAGTATTTTGTACTCATCTTTAACTAAGATGAAAGACAAAGGAGAAAAGTCTCATGCGGGTAGATGTTTTCAAATTAGCCAATGATTGAGTGACATCTGTCATTTGTCGCCCATATTTTTATTCGCAAGCTGTGTACAGTTTTTGCTTTAAGGTTTAACTTATTATATCCCCTTTTGGAAAGAAAATCAACACCAACAATTTTTAAATTACTCCTTTTGGCTCCTTTTTATTTCAAAGTTTTATTGTTGTTGCATTTGGTTTCCTAATTAAAAAAGTTGGACGTATAGTTAATTATTATACATTTTCTATCGCACTCTTTTTGTCTCTTTAAGATGAGAAAAATTATTCATATGGGTGAATATTAAGAAAATTGCTAATTATAAATGAACCATTTTTATTGCGATACTATATCAAAACGAGCGATAAAACATGATAATAAAAAAGCAAATTTAATGTTAACAATTTTCAAATTACTCATGTCATAATATGTGAGATGTGTCATTATGAAGAACCAAGTATATTTTTCTATGAATGTATCTTTGCCATCATTTTATATTTTAAAATTAAATTTTTATTTAGATTGTTCAATGTAGTCTAGGTTAAATACAATATTTTATATTTTAAAAAAAATTGTTCTTCAAAAAAAAAAATCAACTCATGCACCATGTGTCTAGGATAATGGATGATTTGACACCAACCAATAAAAAATTCAATATAGAATATTATTTTTAAAATCATAGGATATAACTGATTAACTTATGTTTCAAAATCTAATGTTTGTTCATAGAACCATATAAAGCAACACTCAAAACTCTCATTAAGAGAAAAACAAAACCTGGCATGTGTACAAAATAAATTTTGTAACTGAGTACGTGTTTTTTTCATAAACCTGGCATGTTTTTTTCCTCTCCGCATGGAAAGAAGTAGTAGAGTTTTTTTTTTTTACACCAAGGGGGTCATTTTTGGTTTAATATACTTAATAAATACTTAGAATTTTATTTTTTTTTAACATACTTAGAATTAAGATGTCACAAACACACCCAACACTGACGTACGTAGTCATATTTATTTTTTTACGTAGTCATTAATTCAGGATCAAGAAGTGGATGAATCATCACTAGTAGTTCAATTTTAAGACGGAAAGAAAGAGCAATGGTAGCATTTAACAACAGGGACTAATTGCGTGTCGTGTACTCAAGCATGCAATTGCCTCAGCTCCTTGCTATTTCTATCACATAACATATTCCTTCCGTTCACTTTTACTTGGCATGTGTTAGTTCCTAATATTGAGACATAACGGATGTCGGGCAGAATTTAAGTCAAGGGCTTGTACATTGCCCCTTAGTATAGGTTTGTGCGGGTGTTGGCAAGCAATGTGCGGAGCTGGAGGTGTGTCTAAGTTAGTGCATGGACTTAGGCAAGTCAGCTAGGCAAGATGTCTTGGGTGATGGCAAGGCAGCCTTGATTGTGGGCAACGGCTATGGCAAATGAAGGCGCATGGCACTTGACTAAGGCATGCGTGCGGATTAGTGGGACGGCAAAGGTTGTGACAAGACATTGTCGTGAGCTTATGGGCGAGGCATGGTTCAAAGACAAGGCAAGGCAGGAAGGCAAAGTGTGGGCAAAAGCTGTGGATCAAGTGTACAAGTCATATGACTGTGAAGAAGTGTGCTGTGCATGTGCTGTGGAAGTTTAGCCATGTGCAATGCACATGTTGCAGTTGGCCAAAGTGCTGAAGAGGGATTCATTTCGTGGGAAAGTTTGAATTCAAATTATGACTAAGTAGTTATGCTTGTTTTTAGGCTTAGCATGTGCAAGGCACATTGTATAATTGCCCTGTGTAACTGCCTTTGTAATCTGCCATAGGCAGCCCCCTTTTATATGTTGTATTTCGTTGGTCTAAGGCAAGAAGCATATGTGAGCCTTCCAACTAAGTTTCTTTTGTACATGCTTCGATAATTGAATAAAGGTTGGGTTTTACCCGTATTACTGTGTGTTGCTTACGTTTTGCTAACTCTGAAATAATTCTAAGTGTCAAAGTGTGTGCGAAAAAAGTAAGGTTGGGTGGCTGAGAGTTTGGCTACTGTCGTGCAGTGTCAATTGTGCTAAAATCGTCCTTATAACAACTGGTATCAGAGCTTTGCTCGTGAATCGGGACCATGGCTGGTGGATCCACTTCAGACTTGCGTGATCGTGTGCAAAGGTTGGAGGCGTTGATTGGTGTGACTGATGATCCTTTGGATCTGGCTGATCTAATTACTGAGATCTATCGTCTAAAGGATGGAATGGATCAGTTTCGTGAAGGTATTCAAAAAACGTGTAAGGCCACGAATGTTGAAGTTGTGGATCTGAAGAAGGAAATCGAAACTCTGAACTTGGAAATTACTGTTCTTCGGAGGGCGTTGGCTGCTCTTAGCCAAGGCAGTGAAGAACGCACTAAGGTAAAGATCCCTGATCCGAAGGCGTTTGGTGGAGCGCATAGTGCTAAACAACTGGAGAACTTTCTGTGGGATATGGAGAAATATTTCATTGCTGCCAAAGCTCCAAACGGGGAGAAAGTCACAATTACAAGCATGTACCTAACGGGAGATGCTAAATTGTGGTGGAGAACTCGCATGGCTGATGACGAAAGTACGGGCAGACCCAAGATAGATACGTGGGAGAAACTCCGAAAGGAAATGAAGGACTGGTTCTTGCCTAGCAACACATCTTGGCTTGCTAGGGATCGCTTGAAACGCCTGCGGCAAACCGGAACAGTTCATAACTACATTAAGGAATCTACTTCCTTGATGTTGGATATTCAAAACATGTCGGAGGATGACAAATTGCATAATTCTTATTTCTGGAATGCAAGCATGGGCGCAGAACGAACTTAGGAGACATAACGTGAAGGATCTCCCGAGTGCGATTGCTGCAGCGGATTCTTTGGTGGATTACCGCATTACCCGGAGTCTTTCTGAAATTCCCTCTACTTCAAAACCTAAGAAAAAGGTGGAGAAGAAAGGGGAATGTAGGAAGGAAGTTCGAAAAGACGTCGTGAAAAAGGGCAAGGCTGTCGTTGATGGACCTGCTAGAAACAAAGGCATCGCAAACAAAAAGAGCGACCTCACATTGTCAAAAACTGTCCGAATCGGGGACGTGTTAATGCTTTGCTTGCTACTGTAAATAATCGGGAAGGAGAAGGAAGAGAAGTTGCTGCTGCGTTGATAAATCCTTTGCAATTGTTGAATGTTATCTCATTGGTTAATGGTACAAGCAACGAGACGAACCCTCATTCCTTGCTAATGCACATCGAAATGAAAATTGGAGAAAAAGGTGTGATAGCTGGTGTGTGGCTATAATTCATGGTTTTTGCACATTATATGTTTTGCGTTTTACATGCTTTAATATTAAAATACACTTTATTTGAGCGTAATAGAGGTTATTTTATGTGTAGGTGCATCGAAAATGAAAGTAAAGCTAAAGGGATGCTTAAATGTTGAAAGGACGCTCGAGAACGGTGAAAAGGAGAAGCCGAGAAAAAGTCAGCTAACCAGGTATCCAGGTGAGGCCAGCTTAAATCCAGGCCTAACCAGGCTTTATCCAGGCGAGGCCAGCTTAAAGCCAGGCCTAGGCTGGCGTTATCCAGGCGAGGCCAGCTTAAAGCCAGGTCCAGTCTGAGTTTTGAAGGTTTTAATTATTTCCCCGCTTGACTAGGAGTTGACCTACACATTCAGGTCTTGTCCTAAACATATAAATAGACCTAAAAACGTCACTTTTGAGGGGGTTTTAGACAGACAGAGAGGGAGATCAAGTTTGGACACACTTGAGGCCTACGGAGGCAAGAACACACTAGGAGCGAGGCGGAGAATTCTTCTACGAGTTTTCAATTCCTTCTTCCTATTTCTATTATTGGTTATGAATTCTAGTATTGTAGTTATGCATACTGTTATGAATAGCTAATTTGTTATCTAGGGTTTTGATGAAACCTATTGGAGGATGATTTTCCTGTTACGTTAATATACATTTGATGTAGTATTTTCTCTATTTGTTCAACTACGTTATTATTGTGGTTGGTTGAAGAGCTCTAGATCGACTGTGCCTGTTTAGTGTATATTACTTGGGGAGAGTGCATATTTAGGTAGTTGTTGAACATCATCACTCCTAACGTATATGAGGGATCAATACGGAGGGTTTAAAGGTAGGATTAGGGATAACGAAACCTTGAGTGCGATCTGAGCGAGTCGTACTTAATGCCAGCTAGCATAATTCGGGAGAATATGTCTAGTAAATTGTGGTAATTACTTGGGAGAGAGTTACGACAATCTGAGCGCTTGTGATCGGTAGAGAATACTTAGGCGAATTTATAGAAAATGTAGCGGGAAGGATTCCGAAAATTGGGGAAATCATAACTCTGGACCTCCTTGATCTTCTCTCTAACCCTTAGTATATGTAGTTGTTAATCTTCTAATTTAATTTGTTAGTTAATTAGATACAAGAATCTTAATATTTATAACATAGGATTTGTTCGAGCTTGTCTTCTTAGCAATATTGAACAGTTGTAGCTAAGCCTTAGTTCTCTGTGGGATTCGACTCCGGACTTGTAAACTGGATTATATTTGCAACAACCGCTTAGTCCTTTTTATAAGGCATAGTTGGGCGTGATCAAATTTTGGCGTCGTTGCCGGGGAACTAACGGTGTAGCTGTAGGTGTACATATTGTTAGGTTTCAAGTTTGAACTTTTATTTTATTTTATTTTTTTTTTGTATTTGATTTTTTAATTTATTTTTATTTTACTTGTTAATTTAAGAAACATGACATCTTGGAATTATGAGAGTTTTGATGTTTGTAATTCTACTTTTGATCCTTCTTATGCATATTGTGGAGGAAACCACCCAGGGCAAAATTATCAAAATATTCCCAAGAGCGAGTTATGTGCACCAACTCAATCTTATATGTGGAATGTGTGCGATACGTGTGGTGGTCAAGATGGTCACTTTCATGGTTGTGCTTATATTTCTTAT